GTGTCACCATGGAGACCCCGGGGGACTTGGGGGTGTCCCTCCTGGGGACGGGAATGGCACCTTGTCACCTCAGTGTCACCTCAGTGTCACCTCTGTGTCACCTCAGTGTCACCATGGAGACCCCAGGGTGACAGACCTCAGTGTCACCTCTTGGCTCCTGGGGACGGGAATGGCACCTTGTCACCTCAGTGTCACCTCAGTGTCACCTCTGTGTCACCTCAGTGTCACCTTTGTGTCACCTCAGTGTCACCTGTGTCACCATGGAGACCCTGGGGTGATAACCCACATGGCTCCTGGGGATGGGAATGGCACCTTGTCACCTCTGTGTCACCTCAGTGTCACCATGGAGACCCTGGGGTGATAACCCACACCATCAGGACATGGCTCCTGGGGACGGGAATGGCACCTTGTCACCTCTGTGTCACCTCAGTGTCACCATGGAGACCCCAAAGTGATAACCCACATGGCTGCTGGGGACGGGAATGGCACCTCTGTGTCACCTCAGTGTCACCTCTGTGTCACCATGGAGACCCCGGGGTGATAACCCACATGGCTCCTGGGGACAGGAATGGCACCTCAGCGTCTCCGTGTCACCTCAGTGTCACCAGGGACACCCCAAGGTGATAACCCACACCACTGAGGATGGCAATGTCACCTTGTTGTCACCTCTGTGTCACCAGAGACACCCTGAGGTGACAGCCCATGTGGCTCCTGGGGACAGGAATGGCACCTTGTCACCTCTGTGTCACCAGGGAGACCCCGAGGTGACCCAAGCCTCAGTGCCACCAGGGAATGTCACCTCATTATCACCTCTGTGCCACCAGGGACACCCCGAGGTGGCTCCTGAGGGTGGGAATGTCACCTCATTGTCACCTCAGGAGGGGACAGGGGGTTGACAGGAGGTGACAGGAAGGGGACAGGAGGTGACAGGAAGGGACAAGAGGTGACAGAAGGTGACATCCCTCCCCCTTGGGGCTGGCAGAACGAGGGTCGGTGACACCGGGGGGTGACACTGGGGGTCCCCGGGTCCCTCCCGGTCCCCCCTCCCCAAATTTCGGGCCGGGACCCCCGGTCAGAGCCCCCCCCCCACCCCCGAGAGCCCCGGGCGGCACCGGGGGCCGGGGGGAGGAGCCCCGGTGGCCGCGGTACCGGCCCGGAGCCCCCCCGGGTACCGGAGCTGTTCCGGTACCGGTGTCGGTCCCGTCCTGCTGCGGTCCCGGTACCAGAACTCCCCCGGTACCGTCCCGGAGCAGTCCTGGAACCCCCGGTGCCGTCTCGGAGCGGTCCCGGTGCCATCCCGGTACCAGAACTCCCCCGGTACCGTCCCGGACCGGTTCCGGAGCCCTCTCGGAGCCCCCGGTACCATCCCGGAGCGGTCCCGGTACCAGAGCTCCCCCGGTGCCGTCTCGAAGTCCCCGGTACCGTCCTGGAGAGGTCCCGGTACCGTCCCGGAGCCCCCGGTACTGTCCCGGAGCCCCCGGTACCCTCTCGGAGCCCCCGGTACCGTCCCGGAGAGGTCCCGGTACCGTCCCGGAGCCCCCGGTACTGTCCCGGAGCCCCCGGTACCCTCTCGGAGCCCCCGGTACCCTCTCGGAGCCCCCGGTACCGTCCCGGAGAGGTCCCGGTACCCTCTCGGAGCCCCCGGTACCGTCCCGCCACCGCCCGGAGCCTCGCGCAGCCGCGCCCGCTGCCGGGACACCGCCCCTGGCTCCCGCCGCCCCGGGACCCCCCCAGGACCCCTCCGGGCCCCCCCCGGACCCCCGGTACCGGTGCCGGTAGGAGCCGCCGGTGCCGGTCGGAACCGGCGCGGAGCATCCGCCGCTTCCCCTTCCCCTTCCCCGCCCGCCCCCGGCTCGGGGCTGCCCCGGGCGGAGCCAGCGCCGGGAACGGGCGGGGCCGGGGGCGGCGGGACCCCCGGGAACGGCCCCGGGAGAGGCCCCGGGATCCAAAAACCGGGATCCCAAACCGGGATCCAAAAACCGGGATCCCAAACCGGGAGCGGCCCCGGGAACGGCCCCGGAATCCCAAACCGGGAACGGTCCCGGGATCCAAAAACCGGGAGCGGCCCCGGGAGAGGTCCCGGGATCCAAAACCGGGAACGGCCCCGGGAACGGTCCCGGGAGAGGCCCCGGGATCCCAAACCGGGAACAGTCCCGGGATCCAAAAACCGGGAGCGGCCCCGGGATCCCAAACCGGGAACAACCCCAGGATCCCAAACCGGGAGCGGTCCCGGGATCCAAAAACCGGGAGCGGTCCCGGGAGCGGTCCCGGGATCCCAAACCGGGAACAGTCCCGGGATCCAAAAACCGGGAGCGGCCCCGGGATCCCAAACCGGGAACAACCCCAGGATCCCAAACCGGGAGCGGTCCCGAGATTCCAAACCGGGAGCGGCCCCGGGATCCTAAACCGGGAGCGGTCCCGGGATTCCAAACCGGGATCCTAAACCGGGATCCCAAACCGGGAACGGCCCCGGGATCCCGAACCGGGAGCCGGGCTTGGATCCCACCCCAATGAATCCCACCGGGATCCCGCCCCGGGATCCACCCCGGGATCCCCTCCCGGTTTTGGGGGGGCTCCCGGGACCCCCCATCCGGGCTGGGGGAGGGGAGGGGGTGGGGAAGGGGCCGCCGGGGGGGTCCCGGGGGGGGATCCCAAAATATCCCGGAGCAAATTGGATCAGGGCGGAGCGAGCCGAGCTTAGCGCCGGCTTTAACCGCGGGGGCGGCTTCAACCACGGGGGGAGACCCCCAAAACCCCCCCAAGACCCCAAAAAACTCCCCCCAAACCCCCCAAAACCCCTCCAGAACCCCCCAAAACTCCCCAAAAACTCCCCCAAACCCCCCAAAACCCCCCAAAACTCCCCAAAAACTCCCCCAAACCCCCTCAAGAACTCCCCAAAACCCCCCCAAAACTCCCGAAGACCCCCCCCCCCCCCCACCCCCCCCACCCCCCCCC